CTGCGCTGGGGAAGCGCCGGCTGGGGGCGCAGGGTCTGGGAGCTGCCCGGCAAACCGTGAAGCCGGTAGCGCTCGGGCAGCCCTTTCCGCGTGGCTGGGAGTGGGAGGGAGGAGGGGGCGGAGTCAGGGCGGGGTTGGGGCGGGGAAGGGGCGGAGCTGGGGCGGGGAATGGGCGGGGCCAGGACCCCGTGGAGGGTCCTCTTTTTTTATTTGTTAAGTATGGTAACCCTATACTGTATGTACACTTCACTCAGACAACACAGGCAATACACAGAGTTACTGAAAAACAACAAAACCCTGCAACCAAACCCCTTTGGGATGTGAACAGTGTCTCTTCAGGGTCCTAGAATCCTCTTCTCTACCTTCTCCCCTTGGTCTGAATTGCCTATTTTTGGTCCCTTTTCTTTCTAAAATGGCTGGTGAGAGAATCCTTTTATAAAGTTGCAATCCCTTGCATCAGGTGACACTTCTGGTCTGTCTCAAAGCCCCCCCAATAAGCGATCAAGGTCTGCTCCCAGGTGATTTGTTGCTTGGTTACTGGCTCACCGAAAAGGAAGCTCTCTGTCCAAGGATGCTTGCATTTGAATAGGAGACCCTCCAAGTTAATGACCTTTGATCGCTTTGCATTGTTCTCCCTCTGTCTTAGAATTGCAGTACAAGATGAAGGCAAAAAGATAACAGGGAAGAGACCGTACAGTCTTACAGCCAAAATGGTGCTCACAAAACAAAATGGACTTAGTAGTTTGATATACATACATATATGAATCGTCACACCACTATTAGTAGGAACCTTGGTAAACACAAGGGGTGGGCCATTTGCTCCCCTTTTCACATAGCTTGTCTCCCTACAGTCCAAGTATCCTCTCCTTCTGGTTGTGGCCCATTGCAAAATGGGTGCTGAATTTCCCTTAATAAATTAACCTTAAATTAGGCTTCAAATCAGTTTAACAGCTTGGCATGTGGTTTAAATAAAAGAAAACCCAACATTCTTCTTTTCTCCTGCTAAAACCACCCTCGGTTTGGCTCAGGTGCCTTTGGTGTCATTGGAGGGTGAATACGAGGTTCATTTTAATGTTGTCATTGTCCACACAATTCCATTAAACAATTATATACAGTGGAACAGGATTGACCAGAATCTTAACAGGATTTACTGGCTTTAGCTTAGCTACCAAATATCTGTTATTGTAGGTAATGAATATTCAACAGGAACATAAGTAGTAGGAGGCTGTAAGCCTTCAGTCAAGAATTTCTAAACAGATTCTTCCTAAACGGCACAATAGTGGGATTTGATCAAGACACTCCTGCTATTTAGGAGAGCGGCTAGCTGCAGAAACGTTTGATCCTAAACACTATAGAGGGTAACTGAGACACAATGCAATCATTTTGATTTTAATGGAAGGGGAGAAAAGGTTCACAGCCCACATGCATGCATGTGAACCTTAATTTTGTAAGGCAGTAAATGTTGATAACCTGCTTTGGGTTAAATCCGATTTAAACGGATTGTGGAAATCTGAACAAATTACAAGTCCATTATCAAAGGGAAGAGCTGAATGAATAGCCCATACAAAGACTTATCCAGTGACTTTAGCCTCTTATCTTGCACATGGGACACCGCAAGCAGATTGAGATTTTGCTAGTTGAAAGTATCTGACAGATTTTGTTTTGCAAATCTTGGTTTAACTATGAATTGATCATGTTCCTTACGACTATCCCAGAATCAGCATTCAAGGTGTGTCAATTAGTTGTGACTGATCTGATAAATTAATTATTATTTCTGTCCCAACTGAATGAGTGTGAAAGCACCTCCGACCTATTCAAATCTAAAATTCAATTTCCATGAACAATTTCACATCTGATTCTGAAACTTGATTGCCCAAATGACTGCAAAAAAAATTAACACGGAAAGGTGTGACCACTACCTGGATGAAACACACCTGAACTTTGGATCTGGATGGGAACGTCACAGCTGACTCTCCTGTTGGAACCAATTAAAACTAGATCTGAATACTCCTACATTTTGGGAAAGTGTGGATCTAGATCTGAATCTGGCTGGGTCCAACTCTACTTTTCATATATATCTTCCACCCTACATCTCAACATGTTACATGAAGACTATTCTACAGGAGTAAACCTGGACTTGATCAAAAATGTTACAAGAGACTACTAGCATCACGAGGTAGAGCGCTCGAGAACACAGTCTGGGAAGTCAGGAGTCCTATGCCCAGATCCGTCCTTGGATCGTACTCTGAATATATAAAGCACCACGGCCAACCTTTTCAAAACTAGGCTCTTAAATGTAGGCATCTAAGTCCATATTTAGGCACCTAAGGAAGGGGACTGAGGAACTGCTGGGTGCTTAGCACCCTTGAAAAGTCAGACTATTGTTTAGGTGCCTAAATATGCACCTGGAAGCCTAACTTTAGACACCCATTTTTCAAAATCTTGCCCGATGTATATAAGAGCTAAATTCTGCTCTCAGTTACACCAATATAAATATGGAGTAAATCCACTGATTTTAAAGTCTACGGAGTTACACAAGTGTAAATGAGAATAGAATTGGTCCCTAAGAATTATCATCCATCATCTCAACTAATGAGGTTTCTTTCTACTATTTGCATTAAATATGGTATTTCAGTATGTGTGACGGGTCAAACAATAAAGATCGCTGGGCACTGAAATGGTTACTCGAGAAAGCATCCTAAAAATTAAGCAGTTCGTCAGTTTATCAGCTCCTGAGATGAACTGAACTGGAGTTAGGAGATCATAACAGTCACACCAAACCAGTAATTTCACCTGTGAGAATTTAAATCAAGGCAGCAACATAAATATGGCCTCTGTAAATGGAGGAAACTTAAGAATCAGCTCTTACTTGTGCCCCAGTTCATGTGCTATGGTAAATGCCAGATTAAGGCCATTGTCTTCAGCAAGCACACACTTCCTCTTGGCACTGCATACACCTCCCAGGTAAGCGATCCCTGCAAAAAAAGACAGAGAACATTCCCATCAGTGCTGGCAAAATGTCTCACACATTCAAAACCCAGAGAAGTCGGTCAGCCATAAAGCAGTAAAACAACGATGAGACCAGTACAGCAATTTGTTCACAAACTCATCTGATGATCTTGTTCAGCAGCCTCGTTCAGAACATTCCAGCCTATTTTTTCATCACATAGAAACCATTCAAATTAGGCACGTTCCCCCTTGCTGGAAAATACATTTAATCATTAGGAGAGACTCAGAAGTCCAGGTGAGCTTCTCTATAGAACCTGTAGCAACTGGCAGGGCACCGCTGGGTGTCCTCAACAGGCTTTTAAGTGGAATTTTCTGTTCACCTACAGTATCCTGTTAGAGAAACACAATTAAACAATACAACCAGAGCTCCTTAGAAAGATCTTAACCATTCCCTTTGTTGCCCATTTATTCTCATGCTTACTGATTGGGTCAGAGTCAGGAAACCTGGCACGCTATATACAATGAGGAACAAAGTTAATGGAGGTGACAAAAATCTTCTAATGATCTCGTGAAATTTAGGACTTGATCCTGCAAATGCTGAGTACTCTCATTAGCTTCTATGGGGCTGCTCGCATGAGTGAGGGTTTATAGGACTGGGCCCCAGTAGTGCCTGTAGGGCATTTTTCACCTCTCTGCAATGTGAGCTCCCAGTTAGATCAATGGGATTTTTGTAGAAAGACTGAGGGCTACAGTGGAACATGGCCCTGTGTGGTCAGAACTTTTCCTTGGATACCGCTGCTGGACAGGCAAATCTGAAATCCCATAAAAACATTCCAAGTGTTTGCATGCAAAGCAGAATTTCCCAAATAACATGCAGCTAACTAAATGCTGAGGATCAAATTTCCACTTTAATTAGGATCTTGCACAATGCAAAGGAAAAGGGGAAGTGCGGAGACCTTCAATAATTGCATTTTAATTTTTTCAAGGCTTAGATTTTGTTTTAAACCAGGAGACAAGGGATCTATTTACTTGCCGTTAAGTGCTGCTCCCACACAGAGGTGGCTTGGGGTTCAGCTGCCTTTAATAATTAGAGTAAAACAATGACAGCAGCTGTGCTAAAGAAGTAGGACCATATTTTTCCTCAGATCATCAAAGTACACCGTGTCTTAGTTTATCAGGACAGAAATTGTGTAGAACTTTATGATTAGGTTTGGAAGCTGTCCTTTCCTATTTGTATGAGTTTTGACAAATAATATCGCTATTTATGTGCAAGGGGGTTTTGGATGGAATGGTGAGGTGGGTAATTGACTTAAATGTTTGCATTATTAGTGGGAATGGGGGAGGGAGAATTTATTCAAAATGTACCAAGTGTAGAAGTCCAGATTTCTAGCAGATGAAAAAATAAAATCTGCATAAATTCCTATTTTATCCTTGGTGATCAATGGCTATAGGACTAGATTCTGGAACCTTTTCTCACATAGAATGGCACTTTATAAGTAATCCCACTGAAATCAATGGGAAAATTTATGGTGCAATGTGCTATTCAAAGTAAGGGAATGAGAATTTAGCCCACAGAGCTGATGGTAGAAGAAAACCGCATAGCATGTAGATTTGTGCAACATATTCCATGCTTCTAATCCTTCTGAAGGGAGAAGTAGATAATTCGCTATATTTAAGTCCACCACCGTGCACTCAGATGGCACTATATAAACAATAATACACTTACTGATTACAGTCTACTCCTTCTCAGCCTACTTAGATTCAACCATTTCTGGAAATATTTTCTGCACACAGGAAGGGGCAGTTTGGGAAAATTCTAGTTTACTGTAAAACCAACAATGGAAGGTGTGGAATTAAAGATTAGCTGCAAGACTTTGGGTTAGAGGAAGGGAAAACTGAATAGCTCACAGTCACTGAAGCTCGAGATGGAGAGGATGTATGAGATGGGCCAGGCCACCCTCTGCTAGTGCAGATCTGTGCCTCATACTGTATTTTTGAATTTTTAAATCCTCTCCCAATATCTGAATACCTCGGTTGGTGCCGAGAAGGAGGCATCCTTTGTCCAGGCTGCCGGGCTGCTCTGCAGCTGCTACTCCAGCAGAAGGGATGCTGTATGTGTCACTGACGGATTGCCAACCCCATTTTACATAGGGGCAAGGGACTGGAGGGTCCACAATGGCAGACTTTTGGGGCCCTCTGTATTCCTCTAATATGCATGTGCATGCACACACAGACACACACCTTCCACCTCTCTGTATTGTCCATAGGAGTTGCCCTGTAGCTGGGATGCATGCCATGCAAGAGGTGCACACCCCTTGTATGATCTCCCCCAGTTGACCCACCAGAGAGAAATACAACTGTTCTGTTGCAGGTGGGACCTCTCTAGAATTGGCCCCTAACGGTAAGGCCCTGCAGATTTTTCAATCCAGCCCCATTTCTACCACAATAACTGTGAAAAGTTGGACGTTGCTCTATGCCCAGAAGATTGGTAAATCAAGGCTCTGGCAGACCAAGGAAGGACCAGACATTGCTGTGCCAGTAGCCCCCTTTTTGTACCAGCATGCTCAAGCCCCTTGACTGATCATACCACTGCCAAAGACAGCAGGTAGGGTGACCGGACAGCAAATGTGAAAAATTGGGACGGGGTGGGGGGCAATAGGAGCCTATGTAAGAAAAAGACCCAAAAATCGGGACTGTCCCTATAAAATCGGGACATCTGGTCACCCTAACAGCAGGTAGGATTTCAAAAGGCTCATCCCAAAGGCAGTTACTTGGGAATTACGCTAAAGAAGGGCTCTAACTCCATGAAGAATTACCATATTGCATCTCTTATAAATCAGCTAAAACTGAATACAGCTGCATGGGGAAAGTTCAATGAATCACCCTGGGGCAGAGCTCAAACCGCTAGTTGGAGTTACAAAGTTTAACTACCTAGGGTGAAATCCTGACCCCCTGAACTCAATGGCAAAACTCCCACTCATGTCAATGGGCCCAGGATTCCACTCCTTGGCTTCATGAACCTGATCTGAGGTCAGTGGAAAGACTTACTGACTTCAGTAGATTTTGGATCAGGTCTCATGTTCTCTCTAGTGAGAACTAAGAGAATATGTAAGGACACCAAAGAGGAGATTTGATCTTTTACTGGGGTGACAAGATAAATAGAATGAAAGTGTGAGTATGACAATCACCACAACATCATGGAGGGATGGGGGTCACCACGGAAAGGAGACTATAAGCTGGCGAGTGGCATAGAATCCCCAGAACGACGGGTGAGTTTGCGAAATACCCTTAATGACCAGGTTGCTTTTAAAGATAGATCCAGTAAGAACCGTTTAAGAAGCATACTTCCTCTCAGCCAGCATACGACTCCTATTACCAGGAACTGCTGTGATGAAACACTATGGCATGACGGAAGCCACACAGACTATTCCGTTCCACTCCTGAGAGGTCTTGTCACCGTCCTGCATGGAATAATTCTAGAATATAAACTGACAGCTGGATGACACAGTGCTCGGGACAATCAGCTGAAATCAAGATACTATAAGAAGGGATTTATAAAAAGATGTGGGATGAAATTCAGCTCTTGTTGCAAGCAGATTCTACTCTACAGAAATACACCATTGCTGAATCTGGCCCAGGGTTTTGAGAACATTTCAACGATTGCAAGTACAGTTGACAGTCAAATGATCAAAGTAATGGAGTTACTTAAAAGCCAGACAATGTTTCGTTCAGATCGCTAATCCTGAATCTTCCTGGTTAATCTCCCAATTATCCATCTTGAGTAGAAAAATGTGTCTCCTCAAATTAGCCAAGTCTTTAAGATAACATATACCATAACTCCATGGAACATCCGTTGCATGGGAATATCACGTCTACATCTCAATGGTCAGACACACAAACAAGTTTAGATAGTTTTAAAATGATTCTCTCTTTAGATTCTGATACCACTTAAATTTCACAATGAGGGGGTCATTGAGAGCTCTAAGATGGAGTGGGGCAATATTACCAGATTTCAGCAGTTCTCAAACTTCATTGCACCGTGATCCCCTTCTGACAACAAAAATTACTACATGACCCCAGGAGGGGGGACCAAAGCTCGAGCCCCACCGCCTCAGGCTGGGGAGCCAAACCCGAAGCCCAAGGGCTTCAGCCCCAGATGGTGGGGCTCGCTCTTCAGCGTCAGCCCTGGGCCCCAGCAAGTTTAACGCCAGCCATTTTGGGGTCCCGACCCACAGTTTGAGAACCCCTGCTATATTTGGATGATGTGGGCTGGTAGAAAAAGCTGTAGTTCTTGACAATAAATTAAAGAGGATAAATCTCAATTAAAAAGCTGAACACAATGTAGAGGCCTCAAATGGCAATCCTCCATGAGGCTGGAAGGCTGTTCAGCAATTCTAACCCGCCCTGGAAGTGATCGGCCGCAGCGCTGTAATGTGCTAAAGGCCTCATTACTAGATGGTGGAAAACTAGAGAATTGCCAGTGATTAAGGATATGTAAACACAGATGGCCGAGAGAATAAAACGATTCAAGTAAAGAGATTAAGTGTTCCTAGTATCCACACGGATTCTATTCGGCCACTATAGAATATTGGCAATGACCAACATTCCAAAACTGGGGTGACCTAAAGCTACTTCATTATTATTATTAATTATGGTTATTACAGTAGTGCCTAGGGACCCACCAAGGTCAGAGCCCTATTGAGGTAGGCACTGTACAAACACAGAGTAGCAGACAGCAGAAAGTTTGTCACCTAAATCCATATGCATCTTAAATAAAAGTTTTGGCTTTCAGAGGCTTGGAGCATCTGCAGATTCCAGAGTCTTTCTGGAGCATCAATATTAGAGCTATTGGAAAAAATTAAAATTTTAAAAATGTTGACTCAAAAATGTATTATAAAAAACACTGAGTGTCTCTATTACCTAGAAATGTAGGTACCCTAGTTTGATAATTTTGACCAATATATTTGAATTCAAACTCTTAGCTCAGAATGTAAGTAGCGATGCGATATTGATCCATAAATGAATA